GGGTTAGAATTGTCACCCGGTCTCACCTCTCTCACCCTAGTCTCAGGGCTTCTCACCCATATCACCTGCACTCACCCTAGAGTGCCGCTTGGGTGCTAAGGGCGCATTGAGTATTGACTATGCAGAACATGTGGCTTAAGTACGGCTGAGCGGACGGGAAGCCCTGTTTTCCACACCCTATGGTCGTATGTATAATGTTAGTTGCAATATAAAACTATCAAATAAGTGATCCGGTATTGGGATACTGAGTGCCACCCTAAGGTAGTATAATCCTCTCCTAAGCCACTGGCTACTGGGGGATGATAATGATGGATTCTACAAAATCTATCTTAAGGAAGCTAAATATGCCCAGGGTTTTATTATCTAATGCTTCTTCGGCATAGGAGTCTCCGTAAATGAAAGGTAGGAGCAACAAGAGGCCGACAGTGATATGCTCGTCGGCTACATCAAGTATAGAGGCGAGGAAGAAATCACCTGTCCAAAATATTTTCAATTTATAGAAGATTGCTCTTTTATTATTTCGGAGGTCTGTCTGTGATCCTATTCCTATGCTGGATGTTCCGCACTACTTTTTATTAAGCGTCCATTCAATTTCCGTATATGGATGTTTAATACAAATCCCGATGCAACTCATTGGTATGCAGAGCACTTAAAACCATCTTACCCTATCTCCATTATGGCTTAGGAGCAAGCCACTATTCTCGGAATTCAGACGCTCAATCACCTGGAGACTCTTTCTAACACTCTCTTCGGGCTGAATTTGCCCCTTGAGTTCAGGCTCGGCTGCCTGAAACTGCTTCAGCATGACCTCGAGCGCTTGTACTGCCTGGGACGGTTTCTCTCCTGCGATAATATCAGTTTCCACCATTGCCTTGCTGTGGAAAAAGGCCACTTACCATCCCACGTATCAACCCATCCAGGGCTTAGAGCCAACACCTTGATGCCTCTAGGCGCAAGTTCTGCTGCGTACTTGGCGACTTGAACATTCATCCCAGCTTTTGCGACGGAGTACGCGATAGCATAGCTGATACCAGTCTTATTGATAAGATCTAAATATGCCATGGCGCTGGAGATGTGCACAATCTTCTTCTGTGTGCCCTTCTCGATCAAGGGCAGGAAGGCGTTTGTCGCCCACATACCGCCATAGATACCCGTACTAAATGGCAGATCGAACATTGCCCGAGTGGCTTGAGCATCAAAGGGGATCTGAGTTGGGTTGAAGGACATGGTCGCCATATCAACGGCGTTGGAGTTGTGGATAAACACGTCTAGTTTACCACCTGTGACAGCGGCTGCGGCCGAGGCAGCCTTAAGAATGGACTTTGGGTCCGTAACATCACCTTTGATAAAGTGCACGTTTGGATGATGACTGGAGGCGAGCTCAGATATGTCGGGCGATTCGGGGTCTCGCACAATAGCCAGGACCGTGTTGGTTGTATCGGCAGCGAGTTGGCGCACAAACTCGCGGCCAATGCCCTTGGAGGCTCCGGTGATGGCATATGAAGCCATAATTTTTTTTTCAAAGAGAAATAGAATAGATTTTACAGTGGTGAATGTATTGATACCATCGCGATTTTGTTCGATGTACTTCCCTTTTATATATACAATCGGGCGGATTACAAACCGTTCCGATCGGATGGTCCGGTTTTCCCGCTCCAACTGCTCAGCAACATAAGCTGGGAGTCAACCGGTCGCTCCGTTTCCTACCGGGCTCCTTATGCGACATCATGAACGCCACAATATACTCAGTCAAGAGAAGAGCATGCGTAGCATGCACGACTGCCAAGGCGAAATGCACGCCACAGGCTGTCAACATATGCCAGCGGTGTGCTCGTTTGGGAAAGTCATGCACATACCTTGACCTCCCGCAGACGAAGCGGAAGCGTAGAGCTACGCCGAGGTAATCCTTCCCAAAAACCATGGCACCTATGGTATTAATTATGAAAGTAGCCGTGTGGAGGTGCTAGAGAAGAAGGTCGACCAGCTGACGTCGCAGCTGGCTGCCTTAACCCAGCAGAGCGGGCAGGCACCGCCCGAGACTTGTAATCCGCTCACCAACGACTTGGGCTCATCCTGTGATCCCGAGCTGGACTCGACAAACATTGCCGCGCTGCTAGATGTTGCTCAAGACCCGTCCCACGGCCTTGATCCGCCGACCACTTCCATTCTAGCGGGCCAGCCGTCTATCGTAGACCAAGGGCTTTTGAGTGAAACCGAGGCTGAACGTTTGGTTGCGACCTTCCAGCTTGACTTGGTGCCCAAATTTCCCTTTGTGTTGATTACACATGACGAGACAGCCGCTCGCCTTAGGGAACAAGAGCCCTTTCTCTTTTTGTGTGTTGTAGCCGCGACTATGGGCAGTGTGCACCCTCTGCGCAAAACTGTCACCGAGGAGATTATGAAGCACGTTACGTTGAGAGTTGTGGCACGGTCCGAGAGAAATCTCGAGTTACTCCGTGGCTTGCTGGTTCACATTGCATGGTACTCATATCCTGCAGAGAGACATCACCCTCAACTTTTGCTGTTGATTCAGCTCTGTGTTTCTATTTTGTATGATTTGGGACTTCACAGAAAGTGTAGTCCAAATTTGGATGAGCAGCGGGCGCTGCTTGGAACGTATTGGCTATCGGTTAGGTGAGGTTGTCTGGGCCGATAGATGTGGCTATGGCTAAATTTTTATTTAGTTTGTGTGGCACACTTGGCCGGCCGACTTTTATGAAGCATGATAGTCGAATCGAGGAGTGCATTGAGAGTGTAGTATCTACCGAGGATCTGTCGGATCGGTGGATTGCGCCACTTATCCACATACAGTCTTTCTTGGCAACAGTGGATGAAGTCTACGCTTCGATGCAAGCCAGCGATGGAAGGGCACTATTTCAAGTTACCCGCGGCTCTCTGCAGCGGCAATTTGAGAGCGTGAGGGCATGTGTTGAAAAAGACATCTCAAATTGCCCTTCATCAATAGGTATGTCTTGAATCCAAAGTGGTCGATGAAGATTGACCAACTGTTGCAGAGAATGCAATCCGCATTGAGATCAAATATACGGAAATACGGCTTGAGGAATTATCTCTCCGAGAGGACCTGTGGATTACAGAGCCTGCCAGTGCAGTTCGGACAACCATGCTGATAGGTATAATCCAGCGAAGCAAGGAACTCATTCAGACGACCAGAAACCTACCGGTGTCGGAGATTGCTCAAATTACAATAATTACAAGTGCTCGTATTTGTGCTGCAGTGGGCTGTATGCCCGCTGCAGTATTGACCCTTCTCAATCTCACTACTGGCTCTACCGAGTCTGCCATGGAAGCCCAGGTGCAGGCTGTTGTTGACCTAGCAGAGTATCCCAATCTTGTCATAGAGCTTGCCAAAGCGCTGGAGACGAAATGTGAGGGAATGTCTGCTGCAGACAAAGAGACGGACATTGTTGGGAGCCTTTGCTCTAAAATGCGGTTATTAGCACGTTGCTATCCATATCAAATCAGGGCAATCGTTGGAAGTATCCCATCCCAAAACTTAAGGCAGGATGCGTCTGTGATGGCAGTTCCCGCCAATGAGGTTGCTATGACACCCCAAGTCTGGCCAGATGGGTCAACCTACGGCGATCTGGGAGATATGTTCCCTATCGATGACACCCAGTGGGATTCTTTATTGAGCGACTTTACCGGGTTCAACTATCTTATCTGATATGTTGCTTTGTAACTTACGTTACTGGACAGTCAATACATTATTCAATGGTCATGGCTGATGATCGAGGTTTCCATAAACACACTTACCTAGTTCATATTGCAAAAGAGCCATTCCAGTGAATTGTTATTACAAATCATTTGAGGCACAAGACAACGGTCAAGTGGACCAATTTCTGAAGTGTGGTCTTTCAGTCAATTCTATCCAATATACCAGGCTGCATACAAATAGTATTCTGAGGTTGGCGAACTTGGAGTGTGAAAGCAGCACATATCTGTCAAGTTTGACCAAAAAATGCGGGACTGAGGGCCAGAAAGCTCTGTTTCAGAGATTCTTGAAAATTAGATTTGTAACTCCAGTCAAAAAAAAAACTTCAGTTCTAAGGATTTTGTACGATGCCCAGTCCCAACGGATTCTCCAGTACAGGACCGGGTGGGCGGAGTTTTCGGTTGAAGAATTGCGAATGTTAAGAGACTTTTAACCACACTACCACAAATAGGAAATAAATCCTGACATAGGTAGTCCATTTAGAATGTGCATCTGATTTACATATATTATATTTTAATGATCTAAGATGCCGTCTCTAGCACGACAGTCCTAGCCCGTTTCAAGTTTCCAATGCATTCTACTTCAGCAGTCACGACCTTAGATGTGCTTTTAAGAATTTATTGTCTTGTTATTTTCATCCTCTAAATATACTCCCTGCACGGCAGTTGTCAATGACTTTGAAGAATCTATCTTGTGCAACTTACGACCATCTACACGCCTTTTGGCCTCTGGCAGACTTGCTATAACAACAACCCTAAAGTCCCTCCCCCGCAAGGGGCTAAGCATGTTAAAACTTGGTAGCTTTATATCAGGTGAAACAAAAATACACAAAGACGAATAGAAATGACCCAAAGGCGCAACACACACACGACAATAGATGAATTAACATCAAAAATTTTGACAGCCAATTTTGATCACTTAGAGATCAGGAATGGTAATTTCATGGTCCAACACAGCGGGATGCTTGATCCCGCCGACAGTCAACTTACTCCAATCCTCTTCAAACCCCTCCTCGACATCAGGGAAAGGACCCATAGGTGTGATTGCTTTCGGATTGATATCCCAATGACTTTTGGTATACTGTGTCAAGTTAGTTGGTGTCAGTTGCCATCAAAAAGGCATGTCAACGTACGTTTTCTTTGATATGTAGAAAATCTGTTGACTCCCTCGCTGCGTTAACATTCCAATACATGCCCTTGAGCCAGTTATTCAAAACTGGATAATCATGTCGGATGGTGCCTAGGTTGCACTTGAAATGTTGCACATACACCGTGTCAAAACGAATCAATGTTGCATACAACCGGATATCCAGCTCGGTTAAATCCCGACCGAGAACAAATGGGCCTCCATTACTTGCAATCATCTTCTCGAGTTTGTTCAAGGCCCCAAATACAGGAATGACGTTTTTGTCATAATCCTCCTGCGAGGAGGCAAAGCCTGCTTTATATACTCCAGCATTGACATCAGATTGCATCCATGGGGTGACTGCGTCGATTTTATCTCGCAGATGTATCGGATAGAGGTCAATTGTGGCGAGCGATGGTGGGAGTAGCTCATTGAACGCCGTGGGGAGCCATCGAAGAATTTCAGCGCTTTCCTAACGACGAAATTCGGTCAGCACTTTTACTTTCCCAGGCTCGCTAGGTGTTATACATTGCAAACTGCTGTTCCCGTCTTCTTATCCCACAGCAACGGTACCGAGTACCGTCCCTTGTAGTCTGGATCGACTCGGAAATAGACTTTGTGCAGATAGTCTTCACCAAACAGGTGATCAACTGTCGCTCCAGGATACTCATCACCAGGGGCCGGGAACTGCCATCCCGGCCAACCTTTTGCGTCACCCTTGGGGTATGGCTTGACGATACTGATGTCAATAAATTCGGTCAAGCCCTTTAGGTGGCGGACAAAATTTACGCGATGGGCGAAGGGACAAAAAAGGCCGATATAAAGGTGGTAACGGCCTTTCTCGGCAGGGAATTCATCACTCGGGATGACGCCATGCCAGCCGTCAGCAGTTGCGGGCTCGTGGATTGAGGGTTGGACTGTCATGGTCGATGAAAATTCGATGTAACTGTTCGATGTAACTGAGCAATAGGGTTCAAATGTCACAAAGGATTTGGGAAGTGTTGTCTACGTGTAGTCCAGGTATTCAGAGGTCTTTGATTGATAAGGTGCGGAACAGTTCCGCCAACATGGCATCGCTGGGATTTGTGAGCATCGAAACACCATGAGCTCACCTCAACAAATTTCTTCTTTTTTGCTATGTATCTCGGTTTTATGAAACTACACGTATCACGATCAAACTTGGTTACAAAATGTAGAGACAGGTATGTATTATTGTTAGTTGAATCGATCTCATCAAACATCTATCTAGCTACTGTTCTCAGCATTCCTCCAGCACTTGAATTTCACATCTGATCGTAGTCTCCATATGCTTGGTCTTGTTTCTACTTGATCTCCTTAGATGGAACCTAATTTTCTTCTTCTAATGCTCCACGATCTTAGCCCTGGCATCATTTCTCGTGATTGAATCCTCATTCACTTCCTATACATTGAAATCTGAATGAGCTAGACGATTGCGAAGTTTTTGAAAGGTGGTAAACAACCAAAAATTAAAAAACATACAACAGTCAGGATTCGCTGGTGGTCACCCACCCAACTACTAACTCACCGGCGTGTGGCTTAAGTGCAGTCAGTAGTTCGGTGGGTGTCGCCCGGGTGAGAAATGGGTGAGTGCCGCTTTACGGTCGCGCGACCGGGGGTGATAAGGGTGAGTGCGCTATAGACAGGGTGAGAATCGGGGTGAGAATCATCCGAGTCGCGCGACCGCCGCACTGACCCTCTTCTTGGCTGAGCTATGATGTAAATCATTGGACTGTCTAGTTCTCTTTGAAACTCTCGGTGTCTTGGCATCTGCATATTACTTGAACTGGAAGCGCAAAGAAGTGCGCTGTGTTAAACACTACTACCCCAGTTGTGGCTTTCTTGGTAAATCTACTAATGTTAGACGAGATCAAGCTTATAAGTACTACTGCCCTTTTCGCTTTTTATCGTATTAACAAAATATGTCTTTTTGATGCGTACAGTATCCTATGTGCTCCTGAGTTTCTATTCTTTCCGTGTATTACTAGTTTGTAGTTTGGGACTAGCGTAACTCTGAATGCTGGCACAGATAAGGAGATGATCTACCCTGGGGCCGATCCCGGAAAATTCTTTTGATTTCATACCCTTGGCACCGAAGGAAAGGTGTACTCCATTCTCCGTCGCAGCGTACATCATATATGAAAAAGTACGGCCAGATTGTCTCCCAGGACCGGGAGGCTGTCTCGTTTTGGATGATGTATCGTACGAGTAAATCACCTAGACGACGGTACATGTGTGAGGTGCAACGTTTGTCCTGTCTATACCTTGCCAAGTGAAAATCGAAGGAGTGGAAAAGCTTGGATACTGTACTATCTTTATCGGTGGAATCAGTGACCCTATTCTGATCTGCTAAATCGATGATTTTGTCACGGTGCGAACCGTGATGCTTAGTAAGAGGAAGATCACGGCACGTGATCTCCGACCTGTTTATCTTGAACTTCAGTTCTAGATCCTGTTGTAGCTCTTCGAGCTACGTCTTGTATATTAGCCTGCCCCTGCCTGTACCTGCCTGTCAATGAGAATCTGATCTGTTACGACCTGTCCCTGCCAGTCATCTCCTATCATACCGTCCTGCCAGCCCGCACCCTGACATATAATAGGAAATTCGTTCTTATTATTGCCTATTTTGTTCACTTCTAATCCAACGCCGAGTTGATTCTAAACAATGGGGTATACTCTTCAATCTCTGTCGTTAGGATGGCATATCGGTGAGCGATGAGTGCCGGAAAATGTTTCAGCCGATGGCCATGAGCCCACGACTCAAGCTGAAATGCAAACAATACAAACACAACCAATTAAATACGGCAAGGGGACCGAAAACTGTTACTACTCCTTCTCATCCAATATTGCGTCGAGGGTTTCTTTACCTAGTCTTACATATCATTTTTGTGGGACTTACGGCCCTTCATACTTCTGTCTTCCTCGGTTCAATTTCTGGAAATTCTTACTAGAGGCTTTGCTGATCTAGAAGTAATACCCAGCCATCCTGACTAGGTGCCTGAGTGTCTACGAGGAACGGAAGGGCTAAACCCGTCGTCACGGCCCGCATACGAAATAATTCAACATCAGTCACAAGACCGCGACACCTCTAATCACCAATGCAAGCCTCTTTTTTCGAGACACCTCATCGCTTGATGATCAAGACTTCCCAATCAACTTTTCAACTC